AAAAAAAAAAAAAAAAAAAAAAAAAAAATTAGCTGAGCGTAGTAGCAATGCCTGTAATCCCACCTGCTAGGGAGCCTGAGGCAAAAGGATTACTTGAACCCAGGAGTTCGAGGTTGTAGTGAGCTATAATCTTACCGCTGCACTCCAGCCTAGGTGACAGAGTGAAACTCTGTCTCTAGAAAAAAAAGAATTCAAATGATATGATTAGGGTGTACTTTAAAAGCTTTTTTCTTGAGGATGGTTGTGTAAATGCATTTCTGTAAGTTTTAGAACCTTGCATGGCTTTGTCTTGAGGTGTGAATTCTCTTTTTACCAATCTGTAGCATACGATGTTACAACTGATCAAGGAAACAGGCTGCTATAATGGAATCACATCCAGGGATGACTTTCCTGTGACTGAAGTGCTAAACCAGGTTTGCCCATCCACATGGCGGGGTGCCTGCAAGACAGCTGTGCAGCTGCTGTTTGGCCAAGCTGGACTGGTGAGTGAGTGTGTGTGTTGCATGATAGGAGAGTAGAGGGAGACAGGTGGAGCACTGGAGAATGTGGTGTAGGTGTATAGTGAAAATACTGAATGATTTATGAAGATCTACAGTGTTGCAGAATTTAGACCAGATAGAAGAGGTAAAAGAATAGTAAGATTTTTTTTTTAAATCCTTTTTCCCCCCTCACAGGTTAACAGTACGTATTTGTAGGGGACCTAGTTGCAAAATGATATTGTAGACATTTTTCTTTTCTTTTTTTTTTTTTAATTTATTGTTGGGAATTCATTGAGGGTACAAGAAACCAGGTTTCACTGATTGCATTTGTTAGGTAATGTCCCTCTTACAATGGTGTCCTGCCCCCAAAAGGTGTGGCACACACCTTTTTTTTTTTTTTTTTTGAGACAGAGTCTCACTATGTCACCCTGGATAGAGTGCTATGGTGTCACAGCTCACAGCAACCTCAAACTCTTGGACTCAAGCGATTCTTTTGTTTTAGCCTCCCAAGAGCTGGGATTATAGGCTCTTGCCATAACATCCAGCTATTTTTAGAGATGAGGTCTTAGTCTGGCTCAGGCTGGTCTTGAACCTGTGAACTCAGGCAATATACCTGCCTCGGCCTCCCAGAGTGCTGGGATTATAGACATGAGCCACTGTGCCTGGCCGGCATTTTTCATTTTAAGGAAACTATTACATTAGTGATGATTTGACAGGTTCCCTTGACCTGGCCCACTAGTCAGGAGTTACACTGGACATTGTTGCCCAAAATGCCCAGTTTTATTTTATTTCAGGCCTTTGTATTTAATGCCCCTTTTACCTGAAATTACTCTTTCCTCTGACCTTCACATGGTTCACTCTTCCTCTTCTTCCTGGTGTCAGTTCCCTGGGCATGCTGGTGTAATGACTCCATTTACTTTATATCTAGCTCTTTGTTTGTCTCCTTCTTAGTGGTACCGGAATAGCATCAACTCAAAAATAGTGTTGTTTTTTTTTTTTTTGAGACAGAGCCTCAAGCTGTCCCCCTGGGTAGAGTGCTGTGGCATTACAGCTTACAGCAACCTCCAACTCCTGGGCTCAAGCGAGTCTCCTGCCTCCGCCTCCCAAGTAGCTGGGACCACAGGCGCCCACCACAACGCCCAGCTATTTTTTGGTTGCAGCCATCATTGTTGTTTGGCGGGTCCGGGCTGGGGATTTGAACCCGCCACCTTAGGTGTACGTGGCTGGCGCCTTAGCTGGTTGAGCTATCGCTACCGAGCCAAAAATAGTGTTTTGGGGTTAGGTATGGTGGCTCACACTTTGGGAAGCCGAGGCAGGACTAGAACTTAGACGTTTAAGCTTGTATTGAGCTATGGTGACACTACTGCACTCTAACTGGGCAACAGAGCGGACCCTGTGACCCTATCTCAGTAATAACAACACAATCGTTTGGTTATTTTACCTTTCAGAGGAAAAAAGAAACACTTTTGCCAAAGTTGGGTGGGGTCAGATGAGCATCTGCAGTCACCATTTAGCTTTCTGTTTGGCACCATTGACCTTGTATCCTTGATCTTTCTTTCTAGTAATGATAATGGCATTTTAGTCAGAGGTTAGAGGAAACTAATTAGAGATTAAGAAAATTAAAGAACAGTTTTTTGGTCAGATTCTACTTTATTCATGAGAAGAACCATTGGGAGGATGCAGTCCTTTTGTTTCCAGCAGGTGAGAGCCCCAGTGGCCCAGCTCAGGCTGGTGCTCAGCTGTGGAGGGCCAGATGAGAGGGCCTGTCCACAGTGGTGAGTCACATCCCTTCAGTGTCTATTCCTCAGTAAGGAACCCCCAAGAGAAGTATAAACAACAGATGTCCTGCTGAAACCTGCAAGAGCCCACTGCCATTTTTGTTCTCCTTTAATCCTTAGAACTTATAAAAAGCCCACTGCCGTTAGGAGATTGATCTATATTCCCTGTGACTATTTAGCTGAAACTAGGAAAACCATGCCAGAGAATTCTCCAGACAAGAGTTTGCAAAGTAAAAGGCAGCAGGACACGTGGGCTGTTTTAAGAAAACATAGGTTTTTTAAAAAGTTCCATGTTATTCAGAGAGCAGAAACTTCTTCCTAGTTCTCTACCCCTTGATTGCAGGGCACCTTTGTGTGTGACTGACAACCTTTAGAGGTTATGGTTCTGGGCATGGGAGGAAAGAGGAAACACCTGTCTGGTCCAACAATGGCTATTCCTTGAACAGGAAATCTTTTTTTTTTTTTTTTTTTTTTTT